TCTTTCCCTGGCTTGCTGCCTACCCAGTCTTTCCCCTCCCTCTTTCTGTTCACTCCTCTGCATCTATTTTTACTGTTTCTGTCTTCATCAGTCAACATCTTCCCTGGCTCTTTCTTCCGTTACTTCTTTCCCAGTATCAAAGACCATACTTTTTAACTGTATGTGTAGGATAAAATGTTTAAAATGCTGGCTTGACCCCCTGAGATTTGTCCTCAAATATTTAAAGACATTCTTTCAAGAGGTTACAGTTGCAGGCTTTTTATACAAACCCATGGTCTTCCCATCCTCAGATGTGTTCAGTTCTCACAGCATGTGTAGCTGAAGTTCCAGGAACGCTGCGGGGACCCTGGGAATTGCTTGCTGTAGAATAAATGCACTAATGCACACTCTCATTCATCTGTTACTGGGGTATTTTAGATTTCTTTGCCAAACTGGCATCTTGGAGCACATTTGTATGTTGGCATATATTGATAAGCCATTTTTGGACAGAGAAAATGAAACATGGGTGGACACTGAGGAACCAAGATCACTTTGGCATCATCTATGCCAGACAGTTGAACTGATTTTATTGAGTGAATCTTCGGCTGTATGAACAGCAGTGTAACTGCAGGGAATGTTAGGAAGACTCTCAGATGTCTGCTGCTGTGATAGTAGCTCTGGTCTGTTTTACACCTGCTAGGTGTTCTGACTTTTGGTCTGGCAGACTGTGAACAAGAGCATAATGGATGACATGTATGAAAAAAGCTACTAGACCATGCTTTCTTTTAGGGAAACAAAGTACGTTCAGAAGTAATATTGAAATAATGAACTGACTTGCATTCAGCCAAATCTGGTCTAGCTCCACTAATTAGCTAGTGGTGGCTGCACTAATTGCACCAGTGGGTTTCTGAAACAATTAAAATGCTGGGCACAGGTACATTGGTACATGGCTTACAGAGCACTAACCCTCATGAGTCAGAATTGAGCTAATACCCAACAGGGATAAACCAAATATTTTTAATTGGGGTAAAGCTTGAGAAACAGTGGAGGCTTAATATACCCTCAAGCAGAGCTGTGAGAGCAGCACACAGTCTGAGTATCAGGCTGTGTCCCCATTTGTTTGTCTTTGTGGCGGTCCTTGTAGAGATGATCTCCCTGGTTGCTGGGAACTGCCAAGATAAACCATCTCACCTTTGACATCTCAGCATGGTTGGCCCTCCAGTTAGCCCTGTGGGGATAAAAGTACTTCTCTTCTTTGAAACCAGCCATTAGACATAGCCCCATCTCCACAGACACAGACCTGAACCCAAATATGATGTAAACTTCATTACTGCAAACCAGCACAACCAGGAGTCATATGAAATTCCCTCAAAAGCACTGTTTGAAGCAAGCACAGCAGCACATCTACCTAGCAACGTGCATCTTTGCCAAGCTCAAATAACAGCACCAGTCTTCATGTCTGTTACAAAGTCCATGCCAGATATATAGTCTGTATAGTAATCAAAGCCTTCCTTGGTCTGGATCTAACTGTTTTAGGAATTGTGCTTCACTCTAAAATGATAGACACCCATGGTCAAAACTGCGGGTAATCAGAGACAAGGGTCTGCAGGAGATATCTTTGATAGGTACTGTACCTGTGGTCCTCCTCGCAAGAGAAGAGAGTGGCCATGGACCTCCTGAACACAGTGCAAAATATCTGTTCTTTCACGTCAGATTTGATCCAGGGAGATGTGCACAAGTTGTGCTCACATGCACAAAATATGCCTCCCCAGTCCTGGCTCTCCCTTTCCTTCTACCTTCTCATGGTTTAACCTTGGGCAAGCAATTAAACCCCTACTCAAATAAACAGCTGAACAGAAAAATGAAATAACTTTGGTTTTATTCATTTTTGAGGAAGAAAACAGAAAATTTATGTTTAAAATATTTGGAAGATTATGCAAAATTAAAATTAACAAGGTCATATAGAAGATTTTTTGAACAGGTAGATCCATCCTAAAAGTATTCTTGGATCTCGGACTGGCACAGTTTGTGAGCCTTGCTTTATTTACTGTACAGAAACGGAAGACTCTTGCAAATTAAATCTGTGCAGATGGTGAAGTAATGCTTTAGAGAAGTAATTAAACATTGCCATAGTATTCACTTTTATTTGCTGAAGGAAAGACTTTATAGCTCTCTTTGAAACAACTTTCTGCTCCTGCCATCCCACAGAGAGGCTGCATCACTCACTGCTGCTTTTTGCAACAGTTTCTGCACACTTTCCCATCTAACTCTCTGCTTTATCCTTGCAGCTCTTAATCCGTCCCAGCCGTGGTGGCAGCTGGTGTTTGCTGCTCCCCTGCCCCGAAAGAGTTAACTGTGTTTATTACATAATCTGTTTAACATTCGGGGTGAATAGGAAACGCTCGCCCCTCCTCTCCTACAATATGTTTGTGCGCTTTAAATCACACTCCTCCCCGGCTGCCTGTGAGCCCCACACCGCTTGACATGCCCTGAGCCTCCCTCCGCGCGTGTGCCCAGGCGTGCCTGTATGCCTCTGCCTGTGCCTCTGCCTGTGCCTCTGCCTGTAGCTTTGGTGCTGCTCATGCTACTGGTGTTGCACAGCCACATGTCTGTGTCTGTGTGCCTGTGTGTGCACATGAGAGGAGAGGACTGAGGGGAGGCGAGACGGTCACATTTATAGGAAGTGCCAGCGGTCATTGCAAAGTGTGAAAGCAAACTCTGCCAGCTCTTGGACTGCTGCAAGTGGACAGACCACCTCACATAATGCCATCATTTGATGAGGTTCTGAAGGAAGCCGGGGAATTTGGAAGATTTCAAAAGAGGGTCTTTTTCCTTCTTTGCCAGACGGGCATAACTTTCTCTTCACTATTTACCAGTGTGGTTTTCCTTGGGCAGGCACCAGACAGCTACTGGTGCAGAATCCCTGGGGCAGCTGAATTGAGTGAAAAATGTGGCTGGACACTGGAAGAGGAACAAAACTTCACGGTACTGCCTCTGCACCTGGGGAACAGGTCCTCCAGCGGGGAGTGTGAGAGGCTGGACGTGGTGTGGGACACCTCTGACAGCTGCACCAGCCCCCTTTCCCGCTACGGCAATCGCAGCGGGGGCGACCTGCCGCTCACCGCCTGCCACGGTACCTGGGTGTACAAACAGCCCCACTCATCCATCATCAGTGAGGTAAGGAAAATCCCTGTCGTCTAATCAGAGGCTTCTGTCCCAGTGCAGGATTTGGGCAGTAAAATGGGACTGCCACCACAAGGGTCATTGCTTTAGTGGCTGGTTTTCCTTCCTAGATTTATATTTGTTTTGTTCTGAGTCACCGGCAAACTGGGACAATGAGAATGATCAAGTGTCAGCATTAACATTTTAGGGAAATGTGTGCCGGTCCAAAGCCAAACACCTCACTCAGAGATTGCACTGTTACAGAAGCAATGTCAGATTGAAGTAGTTAAGTCCTTGCAGCTGAGGCTTCTGGTGCTCAATTTTGAGCCAGCAACTTTGGTGGTATAAATCCCAAGTGTAGCCGATACCCCTCCATAATCTGGATCATTGTATATTTTCTATTCTCTGTATTTCCAGTACTGAACATTGAAATCTGCAAATAATGAAAAACAAACAAACAGTGGCAGACTGCTCTGAGATCTGACAAAAGTCAGCAGAAATTACTGTGCTTACTAAAGAAAAAAAACCAACACAAACACACATTGTTGCCCAAATCTACCATTCAACTTTCCTTGAAATGTCAGAAACCCACAGGCTGTTACTGCTAGTGCTAAGTGCTGGCAAGCAGTGGCTTTTTAATAAGGTTGCAAAAGACCATTTAAGATGCTTTCCTAGGAGACCCTCTGTGTAATCTGCAATCGTGCCATGAATGTGCCGTTGTCCAGCTCCAGCACACTAGAAGTACTTTAAGGTCATCCTGGCAGTAACTGTCAGCAATGCAGTGATGAAAAATACCATGTGTGCTTAGAGGGGTTGGCTAGGAAATCATCAAGGTGCATCTGAAAATGTGTCTGCACAGCTGTGGGCTCTGGCTTCTGCCTGTCTCATAAGCCTCTTGCTGTGGTTTCTAACTAGGTGCTTCTACTGGAGCCAGGCCTTCCTAAACACAGAGCAGGGCACAGCAGGTGAAGCCCTCAGAAAATGCTCAACTGAAAACTGGTGCCAATCCTGACCTTTCAATTCACCATCCTTCCTCCCTCCAGCTGGGACCGCTGGATCTGCTCACAAGCTTCAGGCTCTTCAGAGCAGCAGTTTTGTGCCCTGAGCACCTCATCTGAGCAACCTGAGCAGGTTTAGCCAGATCTATGCTCAGAAGAAGACAAATGAGAGCATCTGGCTGGCCCTAGAACATAGCTTCAGAACTGGCTTTTGTGTGCAATCACTGAAATCAAGGCTGCTTGGAGGGCTGCAAGTGACTCACGGGGAGTTGGTGTCAAAATTTGGTCCCTGGGAATGATGAATCTCTGCCCATTCTGGCAATGGCAGCAACGGCTGGGTGGGGGCAGGAGGACAGATGGTGCCTGGGAGCCAGAGTTTGGGTCCAGAGTGAATGGTGGCAGGTGACTATGGTGGGAAGGTTAGGCTGGTGCCTAGCTAGGGAATTCTGCAGAGGTAGGTCATGGTGTCTCTTACCTGGATAGTCTGTGGTAGCCCTTCCCTTCAGAGCTTGAAAAAAACCCAAGAGATTCCTTTTCTTTCATTGTTCCTTTTTTACCCTCCTTCAGCCTTGCTGTAGGTGAAAGCATGTAAGCTGTGTCTGTAAGACTGTGCTCAGAATCTGTTTATGGCAGTAATTTGTGTATCTAGCAAAGCTGCTGTGATTTTCCATCAGCTCTGAACCACTGGGTATAGCTAACAGAAATGAAACCAGTGTTTGTGTTGCAGCAATAAATGGGAGTGAAAGGTTCAATGTGCTCTGGCAAACACCTTGTACATCTCCACCTTCACCCTCTCTTCTGGGGACACCCTCCAGGCAGAGAAGGATAAATTGTGAAGGAATGCTTGGGGAAGTGCTCCCCACTTGTGCACAGGTCCACATTGGGAAAACCAGGGAGTAACAATCCGCGAGCAGCAACAAGTTGGGACTGTCTGTCCCCTGTGCTGGGGCAGCAGGTCCCATTCTCAGTGTCACTGCAGCTCCTAGAAGGACTCTTGTTGGCCAGGTGCACCTCAGCCATAGGGCGCTTGGCTGTGACATGTAGCACTTTTGTCCTAGTCCCAGTTTTGCAACAGTTGATGGATAAATCACATCCCACAAGCTTTGGATTCGCCACATAAAAAGGAAGTTTGTGGAATGTGTGTCCTGTCTCAATTGCTTTGAGATCAGCTATTAAAAGGAGACAAGTATCTTATTAATGTGTTACGAGTCCAGCAAAGACGATTTAAATCTCAGATTTAAGTCTTCTTTGCTCAGCTGAGGCTCTAGCACATTATGACTCAATTTAAGCAGATTTGTGCTTGTTTAGTCAGCTCACCAAAGATGCCTTTTCTCATGTGTATATTTGTAAATTCTTCATTTTGGCTGTGTATGTAGGAGTGTTTCAGTTTCTTTCAACTATCTTAAGATTTCAGACACTTATGTCCAGTTGAATTACCAGTGGAGTTCCCTGGGAAACAAAGTTAAAAAGACGAGTTACGTTCAGCCTGAAGGACATATGTTCAGGGAGAAAGAGAAAGAAGGAGAAAAAAAGTGAGGATACTGAAGAAGCTCTTTCAGGCTTATGGCAAGCATAGATCTGGTGTGGATTTGCAGCGTGACAGGGGAGGCAGAGGGCAAACGCAGGCATGTAAAGCCTTTGCTGGGTAAAGATGTCATATTACAGAGCAGGTCTGGCAGCCAAACCACAAGCAATTATTGCAATAATTTCTGAGCACCCTAAAGAAGCTAAATCATATGGCTGGAGGAACTGATTGTGGAATGAATGGTATTGCAGTACCTGATTTCGTTGCTGTCATTTGTGCACAACAGAACATGTTGCTCACTGGCCCCTCACTCAGCTATCTTCTGTAAAGACATTCACAGTAGCATAAGCAGAAGGAAGCAGAGGAAAAAGGGGGAATGTGGACTGACAAAAAGCACCCACTGCTTTGTAAGCAGTACCTGGGGTGCCTGCTGCATCAACTGCAGGACTCCTGAATCTTGGTGCTGGGGTGCAGCAGAGTGCTGGGAGAACACACCAGGGCTTTCTTCCTTCAGCATTTGAGGAGAAGAGCAAAAGTAATTAAGAAATAACCACAAAAGTAACACATGGCAAAGCCAGTCAGCTTGGTCTAGTGATAGGGGACAGAACACTGCTAAAGATTCCCTTTTAAACTATTGTTTTGATATCTAACAGACTCTGAGAAGAGCTCCCTACTTCTGCATTGACATGCCTAAGGGTCTCTGTTCTCCACTGCTGCTTTAGGTCAGGCTTTTCTGTGAGTGCAATCCAGAGCAGAAGAGGAGTTATCTATTGGTGCTGCACACACACAGCCCAGCACCACGGTGCCTGAATTAGAGCTGAGCAAACCAGAGCTGGGATGATGTAAAGGTTCTGAGATATCAGTGAAGTCCTTCACTATGTATAAAACTTGGCAGCGACCCCTCCAACGCAATGATGTCGCAGGTGGTGGATCTGCACAGAGGACCTTGGCCCTGTGCAATCTCCTCCCTTTTAATTGAGCGGCTCTTGCACAACGCGCTGTGAAACTGGAAGATGCGGCTGCATGCGTCAGTGTCGGGACGGGAACCCGGTGGCTTCTCAGATTTTCCTTGGAAAGGGAGGTTAAAGGGTAATTACCGAGCTAAATCCATTCCTGGCTCATGCCAGCTGATGCCGTCTGAAATGATGCTGGTTGTAGCAGGTGGCTGGCACTGTTTGAGAGGGAAGGCTGGTGACAGCAGCACCTCTCACAGGGGGAGGGGATCAGAAAGGATTGCTGTTCTAAGCAGCAGACAGAGAAAGAGTTAGAGTCAGGGTGCTAGGGGAGAGAGGGAAATTTGCAGTAGACTCTGGGGGTGGGCTGCAGCCTCATGCTGTGGCCTGGGGGTCTGGAAGGGAGCCCAGGTCACCTCCTTCACCCTGTAACACGTGAAGTAGGAAGCCTGTTGCCTGCCGTCTCCTGCTGGGTGAGCCTTATGAGCGACACATTTTCCCAGGACATATGTAAGTCAATAAACCTAATTTTCCCAGGAAGATGTGCTGAAGACAGAGTTACTGACCCTTAATACTACTGGGGGTTTGGCACAATGTACTTTCATCCCAGCAGAGAAAATCTAGCAGTCTGCAAAGGGATGGCCACTGATGGTATGCAAAGCTGTTTAATTTGGACATTTTCCAGTGGTGATGACTCTAGAGACATGTGCATGAATTACAGTCACTTCTGCAGATTGAATGGCCTGTAGTGGTGGATGAAAGGAAGAAGGAAGTTTACAGTATCATGAGCAGCTAGAGCACAGCTGGCATATTTTAGGCTTATTAGCAGCCTTTGTTGGCAGGAGTTCAGCAGAAGGGACTAATTCCAATATGCCCTGTCTGCAGCAAGTCTTCGTGCCATAGATGATGTAATTTTGAGACCTGGCAACAACTTATTCCCGAAGTGTGAGGTCTGAGGTAGACAAATGGTCATCTGAACATATCTTGCTGCACCTGCTGGGAATAAATCTTCTTACTCTTCTGCTTGCCAGCTGTCTCAGAAAATAACAATCAGCATTTGCAGAGAAACCTGTAAGCAAGGCAATAGCGTCTAATAGTTTTCACAGTCCCTCAGAGCAGGAGATAACATAGCAGTCAAGCGTCAGGTGGAGAAAGCACAGCTGGTCCTTTTGCTGTCCTGCTCCAAGACAAGAAACACAGTTCATCCTCGAAGTGCTGATCTAATGTGGTTATTGTTGTTGGCATGGCAGTACTCTGTCTTATTTCCACAGTCATGGTAGGATTAGCATTGAGTAATGGAGAGAAAGGGAAAAAGAGCAGACAGAGAAGCAGAGGGAGCAGCAATTGCTGAATTCCTTATTAAGCTCTAACTGAGCTTTCCCTGTATGAGAGGGGCTGGAACACTTCCTTACATGGGTTACACCAGTGGTGCTAAGTTTCTGTCACTGCCATTGCACCATCTGGTACTGGATGAGCATTTTAGCTTTGTTTTTTCTTATTTAGAACTGCTGCTGTTTTTCCCACTTTAGGATATGGTTA